CATGTGAAGATTTAAGAACATCAAGTAATTTCTTATGTTCTTCACATGAGTTCTTTAGAAATGAGTTTTCATTTTCCAATTTCAATGTTTTAGCTTTCTCATTTTCTAAAGACATGGTTATGCTAGCAAGTCTACTAACAAGCTCATCATATGAATCAACATGATCAACCACATTAGCATTTGATACCTTGGTGTCACCTTGTGATATGAAACAATGTGGTGTAGTGGAAGGGCTTGTAGTAGCATCGCAATCATGACCCGAGCATGAACCATCATCACCATCAAGTGTGCATGGGGTAGGATCATCATGTACATCACTTGAGGCATCACCATCAATCTTATCAAGTGATTTTGTGGTAGCATCATAATCATTATCACTTGACCATGAGGTGGAGCAATCTTCCACAATCACCAAATTGTGGTCATGCTCAACACGCTCATGTGCCTCCACCTTGTGATCATCCTCCTTCTTGAATTTGCCATCATCCCACGTGGAGGAATCACCGAAGGTGTGCTTGATTGATTCCCATATCTTATGAGCGGTTCTCACATAGTTTATCCTTTTTATTAAATCAAAGCTCAAAGCATCCATTAGATAACAACAAGCATGTGCATCAAGTTCAAAGAGAACTCTTTGAGCTTTGGTGAGATTTCTATGGTCCAAGACATGGGTGAGACCACTAGTGACAATCCATCAAAACTTAGATCCCTTTACACGAAAATGATCAAGCATGTGATTTTTCCAAAGTGCAAAGTTTGTGCCATCAAAAATATGTGTGTCACAAACATCTAGCCCACTAGACGCCATACTCTCGGGTCGGTGAAGACCACAAATGAGAGATCTAGCTCTGATACCAATTGAAAGGTCGAGATGGCGAACTAGAGGGGGGGTGAATAGTCATTTCTAAATTTAATCGCGCCGGCTAACCGAAACAAATGCGAAATTAAAATAATTGGTCTAGCCAAGACTGCACCCCTCTATCGAAGTTCACAAGCACCTTATAAAGATCCTAATTAGCCGACAAATGTGTCGGGCAAGCTAGAGCTCACCTATCTAATTTTAGGAGCAAGGCCACACAAACCTATGCCACTAGTATTTTGCACACCAGGGAGCTCCAACACAATTCTAGTAAGCAAAAGCACATAGCTCCTAAGCTCACTAGCAATGCTCAATAACAAGGCAACCAATGCCAAATTAGAGAGCGCAAATACTTAGCTACACAAACTAAGCAATGTGACTAACAAGGTTACACATACCAAATTAGCCACGCAAGGGAGCTACTTCTATGCTACACAAGCAAGAAGGTAACTAGTGAGCTACACAAGCTAACTAATTACAAGAGCAACTACACAAGCACAATGTATATGAAAGTAATTACAAGCTTGTGTAAGGGGATTGAAAACCAACGGGAAGAACAATGTTGACACGGTGATTTTTCTCCCGAGGTTCACATGCTTGCCAACACGCTACGTCCTCGTTGAGACAAGCTCCAAGGTTGCCGCTGGTCCTCTTGCTAGTGGTGACCCGCAAGTCACACTCTCCCACATGGAGTGCTTAACACAAGCTCTAGCACTTGACCTAGCAGGACCACTTGTCACCCTTCGCATCTCGCTCTACTAGAGTTGCTCTTCGCGGCTCCCGCAGGGCGAGCACAATGCCCCTCACAAAGCTCTTCTCTGGAGCACCGCATAAGCTTCTTGCGAGCTTCGACGGAGACCACCACCAAGCCATCTAGGAGGTGGCAACCTCCAAGAGTAACAAGCACCACCGGCTTGCAAGACGACCACCTAGTGCCACTCCATGCAACCTCACAATGCAATCGCACTAGAATCACTCACTCACTCAATCAGATGAACACTATCAAGCTAGAGTGAGTTAGAGGGCTCCCAAGCACCACCACATAAGATACCAAGTCTCTAGTGTGCTCAGCTCTCCACCGCTATAGGCCAAAGGCCGACCAACACTTCTATTTATAGCCCCACTGGCTAAAATAGCCGTTACCCCTTCACTGGGTAGATTTTGGGACGACCGAACGCGCAGGTCGTGTGCACCGGACGTGTTCGGTGTGGTGACTGGACGCGTCCGGTCGCTGCATCCGATCAATGCTTGACCGCCACGTGTCCCAATCAAATGAAGTAGCCGTTGCCACCCAACAACCCTCTCTGACGCGATGCATCGGATGCACTGCAGCGAAGTGATCAGACGCACGAGGGGCAGTGTCCGGTCGAGTCTAGAGAGCTCCCAGAGCTACTCAACTGTGACTGGACGTGTCTAGTGTGGCCAACCGGATATAGGAGGGGCAACGTCCGGTCGAGTCCAGAGAGCTCCCAAAACCGCTCAATTGCGACCGGACATGTCCGATGTGGCCGACCGGACGCGCCCCTACGTCCGGTCCTCTCTGGACCAACACCCGCGCCCCACATCACCATGACCTGATGCTAAACTGTGATTGCTCAGCGTCCGGTCACTGCTACGAGCCAGAGTCCGGTCACCTCAGCAACTCTGCCCATACCTAGCCAGAATACTGGACGCGTCCGGTATCGATATCGGACGAGTCCGATCACGTCGGGAACACTGCCGCCTGAGACAGATACCGAACGCGTCCGGTCCTCATGTCGGACGTGTCTGATCACCCCATGACCAGCGCCTTCAACTCCTTTTCTTCACCAACTTCTTCTCCTTTGCAAATGTGCCAACATCACCAAGTGTACAACATCTTGTGCACGTGTGTTAGCTTTTCACAAACATTTTTCAAGGAGTTAACCACTCAACTTGCTGCGCCACTCGATCCTAGCAACGATGCAAAGTTAGATCACTCGAGTGGCACTAGATGACCGATATGCAAACAAATTTGCCCCTCTTGATAGTACGGCCATCTATCCTAAACCCGGTCATAAACTTCTCTACACACCTATGACCGGTGAAATGAAATGCCCTAGGTTATACCTTTGCCTTGCGCATTCTATTCCATCTCCTCCAATGTCGATGAAACACATGCACCAACATGATCAACAATGATATGATCCACTTCATATCATCACGTGATCATATTGACTCATCGATCTTGACTTCACTTGCTCTTCACCGTTGCCTCGGTCCATGGCGCCAAGTTATCACTCAACTTGCCCTTCACACTTGCAACCGGTCCGTCGAGCCAAGTCATGTCTTGATCTTCTCCACCTTGATCACATGACTCAATGTCATGTCTCATGTGCAATGAGCTCCTTCATCATCACATGTGTGAGCTTTGCAACATCTCCGAGCCATTTCCACTTCCATGGCGTATGTTGCTCACACACATGTACCTATGGACTAATCGCCTGTGTATCTCACATAAACACAATTAGTCCACCTAGGATTGTCAGTCAATTACTAAAACCAAATAAGGACCTTTCAGTAGTGTCCCTCTAGATGATTCTCATCTAGTTGTAAAATAGAAAATAGGGAGAGCGAAGAGGAGAGAGCTAAGGGGGAGCCGGATCTATCGGATCTTCCTCGACTTTGTACTTCTACAGATTTGACTCATCCTTGAGTAATCTCTAGGTGCTTCAATTATTATTTCTAAGTTCTTTATTTACTTAATTTTAGTATTTATTTCAAGTTCATTTATTGGATTCTCGCTTGCATCAAGTGCTCTAGTCTTTGCAAAACTAGAGCAGTAATTAATAGAATAGGTGTGGTGCTTAGTCTTGCGATTACCTAGAATTGTACCTAGCCCTACGGATCGTTGTGGTAGCCCTAGGTGGTGATAGCCCTGACGGCTGACGTAGTCCACCACGTTTGGGTTGGTGTTTGCAGGACCATAGTCTGAACTTCCTAGCTCCTTTCTCATCTCAGTCTAAAGCTAGTGTTCTGATGTCCCGAAGTAAGTAAACCTTGAAGTAACCTTGATTCTTAGATCAACTAGAGAAACCTTAGGAAATTCCTCTCTACCCACAAAACATTTACCTACCTTTATCCTTGGACAATCTTGATCCTTGATTAGTACACTTCACGTTCCCCATGGAAATCGATACCTTGGAATACTCTCGGGTGAAAGCTACAATGGTATCCGTGCGCTTGTGGATTTTTCTTTTTACGTTAACAAATACCAACAATGAGCACATGTTGCAACCTTATGTTTCATGCGTTTCAGATGTATGTTGTATACGTTTTATCTAGATGTTGCAAAAGTAGATCTGATGTTGCATATGTTGCAATGACTATACACGTATGTTGCAAGTGTATGTTTCAGTTGTTTTAAACGTATATTGCAAGTGTTTTATCTAGATGTTGCATATGTTGCATTGACTATACACGTATGTTGCAAGTGTATGTTTCAAATGTTTTAGTTGTTTAAAATATATGTTGCAAGTGTTTTATCTGGATGTTGCATATATTGTAGTGTCCATACACATATGTTGCACTGGCATTATGTTGCAAATGTTTCATGTGCAGGCGCGGCAAGGGGGCGCAGGTGAAGGTGGTCCCCTCGGGCGCAATGGTCCCTGCGTGCGTGGCAGCAGGCGCGGAGCACAAAAGCTGTATCCATGGGCGTGGCAGCACGCGCGGAGCACGAAGCTGCATCCACGGACGGGTAGCAGGTGGGGAGCACGAGGCGAAGCGGAGCACGAAGATGCATCCATGGGCAGCCAGCAGGCGCAGAGCACGAGGCGAAGCAGAGCATGAAGCTACATCCATAGGCGCCGTGGTAGTATCATTATTGAATGCCTCCCCCTCTTGGAATTGTGTTCAATAACCATCACATGGTCACTATAAGAAACTAACAAAGACACTGAAGGACAGTGGGGAGCTAGACAATTGTTTTTATTTGCCTGACACTTCGTAGAGGAGATTACACACTTTAGTTTCTGCACTTATAAGCATATACAATAGGAGGTTCCGTTGTGATGATGAAAACATCTTTAGATGGGCAAGTTCTTTGAGTACCAAAATATCACATAGTCATAGTTCAGAATACTAATATAGGTGACATGCTGCTATTACTATAAGTCAACAGTCACCTTCCACTTCCTGGTGGCAATTGTACTTCTGGATCCAATGGTATAAATGCCAGTCCAGAGCCACCAGAGCTTGAAGCAGACCTGCGACTTAACTCTGCTAGGGATTTACGTCATTGACTATCTATATAAGCACAGACACAAATTAAACTTATTCACTCTTCAACGCGTGTTTAGTTGCCTAAATTTTGGAATTTGGGCTACTGTAGCACTTTCGTTTTTATTTGGCAATTAGTGTTCAATTATAAACTAATTAGGCTTAAAACGTTCGTCTCGTAATTTCCAACCAAACTGTGCAATTAGTTTTTTTTTCGTCTACATTTAATGCTCCATGCACGTATCGCAAGATTCGATGTATACTGTAGCACTTTTTAGAAAAAAAATTTGAAACTAAACAAGGGCTCAACTTACCAGGACTTCCACGAGTACTATGGTCACTTTGCAGAGTATCGTAAGCTCTGTCATACTCTGCACTCATGTTTGCTCTGAGGTTTTCAATGCCATCTGTGAAGTCCATCGGCAGACCACCTGTTTCCATATCATACTCTCCCCCAGCCTGAAAATTCAACCATTCATCAGGGACAAATCTAATGATAATTATGATCAGCTCACTAGGGAAGGGTGTTATTCTTTTCAGAAAATAAAAGAATCTAGAATAACCTGAGGTGGAATTTCATGAGGTGGTGAGTTTTTCGGCTGTTGCTCTTGTGATGATGATCGCTGCCCTCCTTTAAGAAAGTAAGAAACAGTTAAGGTTTTTGAATTGGCCTTTAGCATGTTAAAATAATATGGTTTCTTCAAGTCAAGAAAGATGACACAATATTACACATTATGAAGTGACCTGAAGAAGCTTTTGTGGACTTGACTTCAGTGCAGTCCTTCCAGAGCTGCATAAGTGGCTTAGGATAATATAATTCTGAGGACAAGTTGTCATGAGATATTAGAGCAACCGGGGGGATGTCCATGAGATCACTTATCTTGGTTGATTGAGTAAAATTAAAATTCTGCAAGCATAAATCAGATAAATGTTCTTTATTAGAATGCATCAGTACAGAAATCTCCAGGAAAATAGGTTAGTCGGACCAAACATACACTGTTAACTTTACGCCTTTTGAGACAAGGCTTGATGCATCCTTCAGCCATGTCTGATGATATATGTTTCCCGGGATCATCATCTGGTTATTGTCCATAATTACTTGCGGGAGTTCCCTACGTGCTTTCCGCTTTGATGTTTTAGGTGGCTGCTGCTGCTGTGTAAAAGAGCTAGCTCAAGTAAACAAGAACAAACTAAACAAGTAATCCCTTTCCATACTATTTTCTAGATGTAATAAGGCTTGATAAATCATGTTTACCTTCATCTTCTGCTCCTCTGGTCCCCCCTGCAAGAGAACTTTCAGTAATTGCAGCAAGAGCCAGCGTGGAGCTCAAAAAATATAAACAAGTCTGCAGTGAAAGCTTTGGCATCTTGTTACTCAGCGGTGATAAATGTCGAAGGCTTCAGGTTCAGGTTAACTCTGCTGATGGCAACCAAATCAGAGTATCCATTCTTCAGAGACCAACGTCGACGACATCACAGCGTCCCCCCAACGGCTACCTTCCCTAACAACCTCAGCACACACACTAGGAGAGTGGCAAACCTTCTTTCCTTCTGCCTATCGTCCATAGCATGGCATGTGCCCTTGAATGTTCTTCTCTCCTTGCCTGAATGTTCTTCTCTGTCACCATTTATAATTCTGATTAAAGCGACAGTGACGGGAGTAGGATTGATAATAGACTGGACCCAAACAAAACTTGTGACCACCCTTGTGAGCTAAGAGATATCAGCTACTACTTCAGAGCTAAGAGATATCTTTTTAGGGGGAGAGCTAAGAGATATCCATTGAAAGCAGAAAATCAGTACTCCTAACCTACGAAATTTGTGACCAGTGAGTCAGTGACCACCCTTGTGAAACTTGCAAAAGAATCCTGCTGTATTTCCTCACACAGAAGGGGGAAATTTTCTCAATGAAAAACACTCCTGAAATCAGCAAGAAATTGGTAAAATGACATTTGTTACACTTCAAGCTGCTAAACCCTAAACCCTAAAGCTGACCCTCTGAACTTCTAGCTGCTTTATTATGACATGACAGTTTGGTTTCTGCATCTGCACACCAGGACACAACACTTTCCGCACGTGACGCCGGTCGCCGGGTCCTGATCCTACATCGTGCAAGAACCAAGAATTGTATAGCTCGAATCGACCTGATCCACTACAAATCCTCATTAGCCGCGGCTGACGGTGTTAGAAAGAGAGCAAACGCAACGCAGAGGAGGACACAGGGTGTCCAAGAAGACCAGCAAGCAACGGCGTCCCAGGGGAGCTGAGAGCAGCGGGCCGGCTATGGCTTCCCGCCTTCTCCTCCTCCTCGCAACCTTCGCCCTCATCTTCGTCTCAGCCGCAGGGCAGGCGGGCAACAAGATCGAGAGATTGAGGCCGTTTCATCCGTCCTGCTCGACGACGCACAACTACACCGATGGCAGCCAGTACAAGAAGAGCCTGGACCAGCTCCTGGCCGCGCTCCCCGCTGCGGCCGGCGGCAACGGCTGGTTCTACAAGGGCAGCGCCGGGTCGGGGCCCGACGCGGTGTTCGGCCTCATCATGTGCTTCACGGACAGCAACGCGACGCTGTGCCTGGACTGCTTCTCCAGGGCGCCAGCCGGGATCACAACGGTGTGCCTGGGCAGCCAGAACGTGAGCGCCGCGTACGACGCGTGCGTGCTCCGGTACTCGTCCGCGCCGATCCCTGCCACCGTGGACCTCCGTGAAGTGTTCGCCGTGTACACGCCCATCAGCGGCATGTCTATGACCTCAGAAGCTATGCAGGGGGCCTGGGTGCCGCTGATGACTAGTCTCTCGAGCGGCGCCGCCTCCGACCCGTCGCGGATTTTCAACAGCAGCACGTCGTACTCGGGCATGGGCTCGCAGGAGATGTACGGCCTGGCGCAGTGCACCAGGGACCTCAACGGCAGCCAGTGCATGCGCTGCATCACGAGCTACGCCAAGAGGCTGGGGGAGCTGTTTCCCAATAACACGGGAGGCGCCATCAAGGGCTACAGCTGCTACCTGCGCTACCTGGTGGCCCCGATAAACATCACTCTGCCGCCGGTGGCAGCGCCGGCGCCAACTACGTCATCGACTGATTGTGATTGCCGGTGGCGCGAGCATCTCCGGTGGTTCCCCAATAATCTTTTCCCAATATACATGTATTGAGGTAGCTCAATATCATCTTTTGTCAATATTGGGGGAGTTGTTATAGCAGTACCCAATATATCTCCCCCAATACCCATATAGAAAGCAGGTCCCACAGGAGTGTAAGAGAAAATATGGCTGAAAGTGGTAGTTGGGATAGTCCCCATGGTATTGGGGGAGTTGTATCTCCCCCTTTCTTTGAGGGGAGATGAGAAAATATTGGTGGCCACCAAAAAAAGCGAGAGGTATTGGGGAACTGCTGGAGCAAGAAAAAAGCACAATTGTCCCCAATATGATAGTTTTATGAGGATAGGGGGAGGTATTGGGGAACTGCTTGAGATGCTCTTAGACGATATAGTTTGTTGGGTTAACCTGATCGGTTCCTGAGTTTGTTAGGCTTGGCGCTAGGGTTAGTTCCTAGTTTGTAGGTCAAGCTAGTTGATAGATATCTTGATGTATATCTCTTGTAACTTGTTCTTGTTGTACAAGGCCACGTCGGATACTGTTCCCGGCTCTATATAACACGGAACCGAGTGCCCAGGAAGGGCATCTTGTTCAACCTACTTTCACAAGGTATCTAGAGCCAATCTCCTAGCGGAACTTCATGGCGTTCGCTTCTTCCTCAGTAGCATCTGTTGTGCCATTGCTCGCCACTTTCCTCCCCGTGAGCGAGAAGTTGACTCGCAGCAACCACGTGTTGTGGAAGGCGCAAGTTCTCTCGGCACTAAAGGGCGCCCAGTGTTAGGGACCAATACTAGGGTACCCAAAGAGGAGGAGCTAATGGTCATCAACATTGATTCATTCGAGCAGTCAAGAGCGCGACTATAGCTCCAACCGACCCCCAGGTGTACGGACTCCGCCTCGCCCGACCTCTAGGTCAGGGGCCCCGGCTCGCCTGACCTCTAGGGTCATGTGCTAGTTGTGCAGCAGGGAGGGCCACACCGTGCTTCGCTGCTTCAAGAGGTTTGATGCTTCCTACACTAGACCCCCACAGAAGTCGGCGTCGTCTACGACAACCTCGTACGGCATCAACTCGAATTGGTACATGGACTCCGGTGCGACCGATCACATCTCCAACGAGCTAGAGAAGCTGACCATATGGGACAAGTACCACAGCGGTGGGTAGGTGCACGCCGCCAATGGTTTAGGTATGGAGATCACTCTTGTTGGTCATGGTCTTTTGCGATCCCCTACTAGTAAGATTCATTTGAACAATATTCTTCATGTTCCTCAAGCAAACAAAAATCTCCTTTCTGTGAGTCGTCTTACACGAGATAATGGTGTGTTTGTTGAATTTCACCCAAACCATTTTTCTATTAAGGAACAGTCAATGAAGAAAACACTCCTTCAAGGCAGATGTGAAGGAGGTCTTTATCCCGTACGGTCGTCGTCAGCTAGGTCATCATCAAATAAAGAAGTCCACAACGCCGTCAAGCCATCATCAACCTTGTGGCATCATAGGCTAGGGCATGCCTCTACTTCCATAGTTCAACAAGTCCTTAGTCGTCACAAGCTTCCTTTTTTTCAAGATTCAAACAATAAAAGTGTATGCGATGCATGTCAGCAAGGAAAAAATCACCAATTGTCTTATTCGTGGTCCACTAGTGTATCCACTAGTCCAATAGACCTTGTTTATTCGGATGTTTGGGGTCCTGCACCAACTTCTGTTGGTCGAAATAACTATTATGTGAGTTTTATTGATGATCATTCCAAATTTGTGTGGATTTACCTTTTGCGCCATAAATCAGAAGTTTTCCAACGTTTTCGTGATTTCCAAAATCTTGTCGAAAGGCAATTTAATCGCAAGATTTTGGCTATCCAGGCGGATTGGGGAGGAGAATATCAAGCATTAAATTCTTTCTTTAAGCGCATAGGTATATCACACAGAGTTTCATGTCCTCATGCGCATCAGTAAAATGGGTCAGCTGAGCGCAAGCATCGGCACATAGTTGAGGTAGGACTCTCATTGATTGCCCATGCATCTATGCCATTGAAATTCTGGGATGAAGCTTTTCTTACCGTTGTATCCTTGATCAATCGGTTACCTTCCAAAGTCATCAATCATGATACACCACACTATCGTCTTCTTGGGCATCACCCTGATTACAGCTTCCTTTGCACATTTGGTTGTGCTTGTTGGCCGAATCTTCAGCCCTATAATTCGCGCAGGTTGCAATTCCGATCCAAGCGGTGTGTGTTCCTTGGCTATAGCAATATGCACAAGGGGTTTAAGTGTCTAGATCCGGCTGAAGGGCGTGTCTATATTTCAAGGGATGTCGTGTTTGATGAGCACATCTTTCCTTTTGCTTCTATGCGTCCCAATGCCGGCGCCCAACTTAAAGCCGAACTCAGTGTTTTACCAGATTCACTTCTTAATCCTACTTCTAGTTTTGGGGATGCAAAATTACATGATCAGCATTTAGTGTCTCCTGTACTGACTAATCCTACGAGCAGCTCAGATTTGATGAATGCAGGAGAAACTTTGATGACGGAAGGTGAAAAATCCGGTGAAAAATCAGCTTCCTACGATCCATATTTCATGTGTCCCTCTACAGGAGACCGCATGGGGGCCGATGCTGATCCTGCTGACACCGTCCCGCAGCATCTTCGGGATCAGCGGTGGATCTCGGGTCACCTCCTCGCACGCGTGTCTCCGGTCAGCAGGGCGCTGGATCGTCTGTGGCCGCGACTCCGTAGTCTCCCTCGACTCCCACTCGTGTGGCTGCGCAACCCGATCTGGTCGGCGGCGTCCCGCCGACAGCACCGATTGATGGGGGTACGGTGCCGGGATCTGTTGTGGCGGCATCAGGATCCGGTGTGGCAACTTCTGGCGCTACCTCTCCAGCAGTGTCTGCTCCTTCTCCAACTCCCTGTCCGGTTACACGCCTTCAACAAGGTATCACCAAACCTAAAACCTATTCGGATGGTACTGTGAGGTGGTGTATGTTGGCCAGTTCATCCACAGGGGAGCCTACTACATCTGAGGAAGCATTTGGAAATACAAAATGGGTTTCTGCAATGGATGTTGAACATCATGCTTTGATCGGTAACAATACTTGGCGTCTAGTTCCACAACCCAAAGGCAAAAACATTATTGGTTGCGAATGGGTGTACAAAATCAAACGGAAGGCTGATGGTTCCATTGATAGATACAAGGCACGTTTAGTGGCCAAAGGGTACAAGCAACGATATGGCATAGACTATGAAGACACCTTTAGTCCTGTTGTGAAAGCGGCAACAATTCGACTTGTTTTGTCCATTGCAATGTCTAAAGGTTGGTCTCTATGACAGTTGGATGTTCAAAATGCCTTTCTCCATGGTGTGTTGGAAGAGGAGGTTTATATGCATCGACCTCCTGGCTATGAGGACAAGTCACATCCTGACTATGTTTGTAAATTGGACAAGGCTATCTATGGATTGAAACAAGCTCTGCGTGCTTGGTATGTGCGGCTATGTGGTAAGCTGGAATCATTAGGTTTCATTCCTTCTAAAGCTGACACCTCTCTGTTTTATTATAACAAAGGGAAGCACAGTTTATTTGTCTTGGTCTATGTTGATGATATCATTGTGGCTAGTTCATATCCAGAGGCCACAGATGCTTTGCTTGCTGATTTGCAGCGTGAGTTTGCATTGAAGGACCTTGGTGATCTTCATTATTTTTTGGGCATTGAAGTCAAGCGCAAAGGCAACAGTTTGGTTCTCTGTCAAGAGCGGTATGCTACCGATATTCTCACTCGGACTGGGATGAGCAAATGCAAGCCATTAGACACCCCCTTGTCCACTTATGGAAAACTTAGTGTTGAAGGGGGGGGGATAAACTTGGTCCAGATGACGCAACACGTTACAGAAGTGTGGTTGGGGCGCTGCAGTACCTAATGTTGACACGCCCTGACCTGTGCTTCTCGGTAAACAAGGTGTGTTAGTTCTTGCACTCACCGACCACCATTCATTGGAGCGCTGTGAAGCGAATCCTGAGATATGTACGTGGTGCTGTTGGTCTTGGCTTACGAATTGGAGCTTCGAAGTCTATGCTGGTTAGTGCTTTCTTAGATGCGGATTGGGCGGGTTGTGTTGATGATCGGCGGTCTATTGGTGGCTTTGCTGTTTTCCTTGGTAGTAGTTTGATCTCTTGGACAGCTCGGAAGCAAGCCACGGTGTCACGATCTAGCACAGATGCTGAGTATAAGGCGCTAGCAAATGCAACAGCCGAAATGCTATGGGTACAGAAATTGTTGATTGAATTAAAGGTTGCTCATCCTCCTAAAGCAATGCTTTGGTGTGATAATTTGGGAGCTACTTATCTCTCTGCGAATCCGGTGTTCCACGCTTGTACAAAACATATTGAGATAGATTTCCACTTTGTCAGAGAAATAGTTGCACAAAAATTGCTGGAGATCCGGTTTATACAGATCAAGTAGCTGATGGCTTCACCAAAGCTCTTCAGGTTGTCAAGTTGCGACAATTCAGAGACAATCTCAGTCTTGTTAGTGGCTGAGATTGAGGGAGGGTGTTAGACGATATAGTCTGTTGGGTTAACCTGATCGGTTCCTGAGTTTGTTAGGCTTGGTACTAGGGTTAGTTCCTGGTTTGTAGGTCAAGCTAGTTGATAGATATCTTGATGTATATCTCTTGTAACTTGTTCTTGTTGTACAAGGCCACGCCGGGTGCTGTTCCCGGCTCTATATAACACGGAACCGAGTGCCTAGGAACGGCATCTCGTTCAACCTACTCTCACAGCGCCACCAACGTCATCGCTTGATTGGGATCGTGATTGTCGTGTCTGTCGGTTCCGTCTCGATCTTGATCATCCTGGGCTTCTTCTCCGTCTCGATCGTGATTGGCAACGGAGGAAGCAAGCTAGAATCCTTGAGGAAGCGAGGGAGAAAGAGCTGGGAGAAGGAGCGTTCTTCGACGAGGAGCCGCAGATGGAAGACGACTTCGAGAAAGGGACCGGGCCAAAGCGGTTTCGCTACGGCGAGCTCGCCATTGCCACCGACAACTTTGCCAATGACAGGAAGCTTGGGGAAGGAGGATTTGGGTCGGTGTACACGGGCTTCCTGAAGGAGATGAACCTTCACGTTGCCATCAAAAGGGTGTCCAAGGGCTCGAAGCAGGGGAGGAAAGAGTACGCCTCGGAGGTGAGGATCATCAGCCGGCTGCGGCACCGCAACCTGGTGCAGCTCATCGGCTGGTGCCACGGCGGCCGCGAGCTGCTCCTCGTCTATGAGATGATGCCCAACAGCAGCCTCGACAAGCACCTCTACAGTGGCAGCGACGCCGACGACACACTGCTGCCATGGCCGGTCCGGCACGAGATCGTGCTGGGTCTGGGGTCGGCTCTGCTGTACCTGCACGAGGAGTGGGAGCAGTGCGTTGTGCACAGGGACATCAAGCCGAGCAACGTCATGCTGGACGCGTCCTTCCACGCCAAGCTCGGCGACTTCGGGCTCGCCAGGCTCGTCAACCACGGCCGGGGCTCGCACACCACGGTGCTCGCCAGAACCATGGGGTACATGGACCCGGAGTGCATGATCACCGGCAGGGCGAACGCCGAATCGGACGTCTAAAGCTTCGGCATCGTCCTCCTGGAGATCGCCTGCGGCAGGCGGCCTCTAGTGGCTCACCGCGAGGAAGAAGACGTGATCCACATCGTGCAATGGGTGTGGGAATGGCACGGCAGAGGAGCCATCGTCGACGCCGCCGACGCACGGCTGAAGGGTGAATTCGACGCCCGTGATGGTCGTCGGACTCTGGTGCGCGCACCCTGACCGGAGCCTCAGACCGTCCATCAGGCAGGCCGTCAACGTGCTGCGGTCTGAGCTGCCACTGCCCAATCTACCGGCGAGGATGCCGGTGGCAACCTATGAGCCACCACCTGATGCCTTCTATACATCTACCGTTGTGACGGGTGGTAGCAGCAGCACAGACACCGGCACCACTCATCAGTCCAGCATGACAATCACAACTGTCCTGCCCAAATGACCTCAGATCATACGCGACTGCAAACAAATTGACAATGCCCGGAGATCTTTGGCACACTTCTTTTGAAAGTAATAAGTACCCTCATCATTTTCCTTTAACTAGCAAGGTGACCCACGTAAATGTTCTTTAAAATACTTTGCAAGTATTTTTTTTTTGTTTAATTGAAATTGTTCTCGCTCCATGTGTCCCACGACATTCATTGGCATAAACTTTATATATCTATCGTCAAACATTTTTTTTTTGGCTTAAAGTTATCGTTGTCTCTCTCATCTATTCCCTTTTTTTAACGGTTAGCAAAAGCTTTGCCGAAAATATATAAGTAGGAGAAAATTAAAAAACAACAAGGTACACACTTATTTACAGCTGTTACGCTAATAGCAGAAAACAGGAAATAAAGAAAAAACACTACGCAAATACATTTTACAATAGAGTTACGGGAACTATACAATCTTCAACAAACATGTTGAATATTCTATTCGTTTTTTTTTCATTCCTATCTTTAAACTATGCTAGGTAGCGTGCTCGTGTGTTCCTACGGGATAACTAATATTTTGTACTTAAAATACATGAATCGCACGATAAGATAACAATACTATAAAAATTAAATACCAACGTTAAAATGACATTTAATTAAAAAAACAAAGTTTATGAAATTAACACAGTTACGGAGAACGCGGCGTCGCAGGCTCACAAACTCTACTTTATAGACCTTTTCGTGATGCGGCTAAGATAAAGTTTTATATCGGCAGGAAGAAATCTCCGATATCCATTTCTTTCGTGCGCCAATAAATCCACGAATAAGTTCCGCCACATCTTCATACCATCTTGTACACACGTTCAAGTATATGGGCCTGTTTGGTAGAGTGGCCAATCAGGCTCCAGGGAGCCAACTTCGAGCAGTTTGGTTGTCCGTAAACTCCTCGAAGCCACGCCGACTAAGCCACTTTAGGGGCCTTAGCCTGGCTCTGAAAAAATGAGATGGGTGGCCATTTTTTGCTGGTCAGGCTTGGCTAAGCCCTGTTGAAGTTCTCGTCACCGCCCACAGGCCGCTTCTTCCACCACCGTGCTCCTATCGCGCTCCTCCACTCGCTTCTTCCGCCGCCGCGGTTGCTCATCCCGGCCAGTGCCGGTCCTATGATTTTAAGGGCCCTCCGGGCAATCTCATCATAACGGCCCCTCTTGACCGTGTATAAAATCTTATAATATATAGGCGCTAATTTTACTTGTAAAACGAAAGCAAATTCAATAACATATTTTTAATTTAACATGTCTGATAATTATCGAGGAACAATATAGATTAAGGAATATATTTGTAGATGTATGATAATTATCGAGGAATAATGTAGATTAAAAAATAATATATTCGTTTTCTTTTCTCACCCATAACAAATGTTTCTTAGGTAACATTATAAAATTCTAACATGTAAATTAGAAGAAAAATATGACTATATAGGTATAAAGTACTAGAAGTCTAGAATACTATAAAAATAATTAATTTGGATTAAAAATAAAAAGAGAAAAATATCTTGGGCCTAAACAACTAATCGGTGATCGCAATTCATAAGAAGCAAAGAATCAAGATGTCGTCGTCGTGGAGCCCTGCCTGGTCGCCGTCCTCGTGCGCCGTGTCCGTGTCTCCGGTAGTTTAGCTCTTCGTAGCGGTGCGGCTCGTCAGCTCCGCGCGTGTAAGGCGCACGTCCCGAACTCACGATCAGAGTGTGTTGTGTGCAGCGTGACTCCTCACCTCCTCTCTACCCGAGGGCCGTGGGGAAAGAAAACTAAGAAAGAAATATCAATGTTGTCTTTTTGAACCGCCTAACTAGTTATATGTCTCTCTTCTTATTAGTTTGCTAATGCCTAATGGACTATAGGACCTAAGGGTTTGTATACCTGGGCTTGGGCCTCTCCTCCGCTTGGGCCCTCGGCCGTCGCACCTCATGGCCTACCCTTAGGGCCGGCACTGATCCCGGCGGCCCCGCATGCCCCCAACGCTGCTCATCCTAGCGGCCCTACATGCCGCATGCTGCTTGCGTCGCCGAGTCCCCCCGCGGAGGTCCCCTGCTGCCGGACTGGACGCCGGACGTGCAATACCGGACAGCGCGCAGCGGGCAGAAGCTCAAGGACATCCTGCTTGACGGCGGCGCTTGACCGGCTGGGGTGCGCACCAAGTGTTCGATACATTGCCTCAAAGGACGTAACTTACCTGCACAAAGAAGAGTTGACTCTATCCAAGTCAAACCAACCAACCAAAATTTTTCAACACGATAAGAGAAGCATAAAAACATGGTGCCTTTGAACTGGATAAAAACTATCGTTTACCTACACCAAGAACTGTTCCTGCAAATATGAAATAAAATCACAGGACTCAGACTACTTTTGCAATCAAAATGAATTGCAACTCTCTCATGCCCAATTCTAGGCTGACAGAATCAAACCAGGACAGTGTAAAAGCTTGAATAAAACATGCTGGTAATTGTTGGGATTTATTGAAATGCAGTCCAAAGAAATATCAGTCTTTTAGTACTGATATACTGATATCGATCCAGCAGAGTGAAGAACCAATACAATGCTTCAATTCAAGTGGCTTTGTGTTCGCTATTCAATTATCTGAAAAAATAAGGGACAAAAGGTCAATGCCACATTAAAAATGTCAGGTAGGTGCCTAACTGTTAAATATAATTTCATTTCCTATAGGGACACCGACCTTTTTTTTTTTGTTATCAAATGCAGAGTTAACAATCTTTCTTTTTCCAATTTGATTGCATTCAAAGCACATGCATAACTCATTGATTTGACCATAAATAAGTTAGCAATTATTGGTCTTTCGTTCCCCTCCCATTGCAAAAACTGACTGTACACATGCATGTTTTACAAAATGTAGCTCCTAGTAAGCGTTACAATGAGCATCTAGGCCTCCATCCCCCAAAGCTAGGTTTTTGCATGTCCATTCTTGCGTGGTTCTAATCCTTTTTAAAAAAAATCCTTGCTTGATGTGCTATAACATGAAACACTTACTTCAGATACATATATCATCTCGTGCTAACAACTGCATGGATATACTTTTGAAAAGTACGGACTTTTTTCTCTTAAGACCAGTTTTTATTCTTCTACATAGGGTCAAATAAACAATAATTTTTCACAAAACCTCAATCTTAAACCTAATCCACTAATCAGCGGTTCAGTTTCTAGCTTTGGAAGCACTTGTGGTAAAGAAAAATAGATGAGTGCAGTACCTTAACTTGGTTCAACATGCTTTTAGAAACAATTAAAAGAAAACCTGCAGCTCTGTTTTATGATGCTCCTAATTTTTTTCCTAGACAATCTGTAGTCACAAACAATTAAAGAGCCACATATGCACAATTAAATGGTCAGTCCTAAATCATAATCAGAGCAGAGGTTGCACCTATGCGGCATGGCCACAGAACGGCGAGATCATGGAATATGTCTGAGCTGCTGATGCTATAGTCCTGCAAAGAGAAAATGTAATCGATTCGATCAAGGGTTGATCTGCTACTGGACTGACAATCTAAAAAACAAAAAAGAGAGCACGAGCTGCTTCTATACACTAAACAGAGAAAACTGCAACTCGGCCTATTTTACAAAATCATGTGCAAAACCAAACCCGATTCCAATTGACATGAAACCAGAATCACATCTTCACTCGAGGTGCTGTACACTGAACAGAGAAAAAACTGCAGCTCAAACTATTTGACAAAATCAATTGCAAAAACCAAACTTGATGCAACAGCAGCATGCCACGCGTCACCCTCCCAATAAACATTTAAAGAAGTAAGACTCTAAAGGAATGAAACAACTGAATTAAAATCACATTTTAATATATAGGAAACAACAGTAACCTACCTCATGAGAGTGTCCAAGACGGAGGTTATTTATTGTTCCAAACACTCCATGTTGTGAAATATAGAATGCATCATTCAAAACATCTGTATGCTTTAACAGTTCCACATGAGCATGAGAAACTTCTATTTTTGCCAAAACAGTATCTTGTTCTTCCTGCATTGAAGTGCTAATTTTTTCAATCAGTAAACTATCAGTGACAGAAGAAAATGTTGAAAAACAATGCACATAGATAAGGAATCATAATTTCTGCTATGTGAACCCCCCCATCATGCAGTGCTGCTTGCCAGCTTGCCGCATGAGTTTCCATCTTAAACTTGCAATTCCTTCAGCTTCCTAATCCATTATAAAATAGGAGTTTGTCAAATAAAAATGCAACTAATAGGTTCATAATTCATGCTTATTAAAACTAAACAGTTCAGACTTCAGGAAAAAAAGAAGTCTTGATATGCTGCATAGTTTACAACTTAATCCTAATTTGAGTTCCTAAGTTACTCCAAAGGTTTCAGGAAAAAAAGAAGTCTTGATATGCTACATAGTTTACAACTTAATCCTAATTTGAGTTCCTGAGTTACTCCAAAGGTGTGGTTGCCAACAAACAATTATATTACATAATCAAAAGAATAGATGACCAAGTCAAAATCACATAAGCCCAGGCAAAGTTCTCAATGTGTAAAAACATCACACATCATCCAGAATACCCAAGTTAAGTTAGTAAATGCTATGTTGCCACATGGCATTTCTACCATCAGAAGATAGAAAATGCTTAAAGTTTTAGAGAATATTAAAGGTGAAATTCAAATGTTCAACACATAGATTACTGCGTGACCATTATATTTACCGGAAGGAATATAGGTGTATGAAACAAAATAAGTTTTATATATCTCATTGGGATGACTAGACTACTAATAATATATGGTGTATGAAATGGAATGCAGACCTGACTGAGTTTTCTCCTCAAATAGCTTAGGCTGAGCATAACCCAATGATCGCCAGTAGCCAGCTTCCATTCCCTTGAGATGATGGCAGGTACAGTCCAATAATCATTGGAGATCTTTAAATTGACTAAAAGCAGGTACATGGCATATCTAGTCATGATGATTTGGTATCTTCTTTTAGAATACACACTAATCAGAGCTTCG